TTATCAATGTAATTATTCCAAAATTAAATCATTTTTAATTCAATCAAAATTTTATTAAATTTTAAATTTAACCAGAGAAACCCCATATAAAGGGGCCTTACTTCTTGCAATCCTATGGCCACGGCGTGCGAGAATATAACCTTTGAGATATTCGAAATTATTAATTATTAATAAATTTAATAAATCTCATATCATTTAAAATTTGTGATTGATGTAATTAGTTAGAGACATATTAGTGTGTCTTACATTGGTAGGTTATATCTTTGATTGTGTGTACCAATATTCATTTATCACCAGTCTTTTTGCGTTTTGTGTTAATGTATATATAAATTTTGTACATAAAAATAAATTTTTTATATTTATCTATTATAAGGCAAATTTTGTGTGTTGGTACGAAATCATATTGGCTAAAAGAATTCAAGGTAATAATAATAAGTGGTGATCAAATTATCAAAGTGTCCAAATTATTGGTTTACTAAATATTTGCCGTATTTTAACGGCTGGAGGCACTGTAATATTTCATCTAAGGGAAAGGGACACGCCCTTTATAAAATAATATATATCCTTACATAAACCACCACAACACCTCCTCTAAAACCTAGTACGTCTTGTGGTCAGGTGCGTCTTATGTTGCGAAAAATACGATATATATTTCTCACATAAGCCATGGGTATATGTGGAATTACACCCCAAAATACATTCTGCTACTTCTACCGAATATGGGGATACCCACATGTGTGACACTTTTTGGGAGCCTAGCCACATACATGAGCCTGAAATCCAATGACCACTTTGAAAGCTTGAAGGTGCGTAACTTCCTCATTTTACTTCCTCACTACCTATCACAGTTTCAGAGGCCCTGAAATGCCAGGATAAACCCCTCCAAATGACCCCTTTTTGGAAAATAGACACCCCAAGGAATTTAAAAAGAGGCATGGTGAGTTTTTTTGCAGATTTCATTTTTTCTCCTCACAAGGTTTTGAAATATGAAAAAAGAAAAGAAAATATTATGTTTTTGTTTTCTTTCTTAATTTTCTAAAAACTTGTACCAACAAACAAGATCTGCAAAATACTCACCATGCTTCTTATCAAATTCCTTGGGTGACTACTTTCCAAAAAGGGGTCATTTGGGGAGTTTGGTGCTATCCTGGCATTTCAGGGCCTCCGAAACTGTGATAGGTAGTCAGGAAGTGTAATGAGGAAATAAAGCCTTGTAAAAGCCTGAAGGTGCTTATTGGATTTTGGGGTCCTGTAACTTGGCTAGACTGCCAAAAAGTCTCTCACATGTAGTACCCCCATACTCGGGAGAAATAGCAGAATGTATTTTGGGTAGTAATTCCACATATACCCATGGCATGTGTGAGCAGTAAATCATTTACTGTAAGTGACAATTTTGTGTAAATATTTTCCAAAAACTTGTGATAAAAAAATAAATTATTCTATTGACTCAACATGCCTCTCAGCAAATAGTTTGGGTGTCTACTTTCCAAAAAGGGATCGTTTTGAGGGGTGGGGGCATTTTATGCCCAGCATTAGAAGTTTATGCCACAAATCATTCACTCTTCTAACCACCTGAAGACCAAGGTTTTTCTGACACTTTCTGTTCACATGAAAAAAATCAGTATTTTTGCCAGGAAATTACTTTGAACCCCCAAACATTATATATTTTTTAAAGCAGACACCCTAGTGAATAAAATCCATAGGCAACATTTTAATTTTAAAAAAAAACCTTTACAAGCTACCATTTTAGATTTACAGAGGAGGTCCAGTGCTAGAATTACTGCCCTTCATCTGACATTCGAGATGATACCTCACATGCATAGTGCAACCACTGTTTACATACGGGCACAGGGCCAAAGCTAGCGCACAAAGGTGCACGCATGCGGGGCGTGGGGGTGGGGCGAGGGTGCTTTTTTAAAATAATTTTTACACTGTCCCTTTCATTTTTTTTTTTTATCGCTTTTAATGCTATCACAGGGAATGCAAATATCCCCTATCAATGGGCATTGTCATATATTCTTTTTTTGAGAAATATGGGGTCTATCAGACTCTAGATATTTCCTTTGCCCTTACATTATCTAATCAAACCAACATCGGTGTGATCAGATGCTTTCCCCAATTTACAAATGGTGCTGTTTATATCCTGCGAAACTGAAGTGATGAAATGCTAGTAGCTTCCGATTTCTTAGACTATAGAGATGATTGGCACCATTCCGGTCTCCAATCAGCTCTATGGTCAGCTGGCAGAAACACTGGCTGCATTCTCAGGTTCCCCCGATGGCACGGGACTGCCCGAGAAGAATGTGGAAGGCAGCGGGGGAGGGTGGCACTGTCTCCCACTGCTTGGAAAAGCAATCCTGCAGGTAATTAGCCACTAGGATTGCTTTTACATGAAAGCCGATCGCCAGCTGAAAAAAAATGATACCAGGATGATGCCTGCAGCTGTAGGCATCATCCTGGTATAACCATTCAAAGCCCAGTGATGTACCAGTACGTCGCTGATCCTTGTTGAGTATATATGCTATGTTCCCTTTTTTTGTTTTTTTTGTATGCAGCCTGTGGGTGAATGAAAAAAAAGAGAAGAAATCTCTGCCAGAAAAAGTGTGTGCTATGCCCACTATTAGAATATACCGCCCTGCATCCGCCCTCTTCTAATGGTGGGCAAACATTAGGTTGCATGGTGCCACATTCGCCAATTCCAAGATTGTACAAATGTCTAAATAGTGTCACGCCTGAATAAAAATTGCCAACGTATAAGTGGTACCCCATATGGAAAAAGGATGACACCAAGTCCCAAACTATCTTGAATCTTATATGTATAGCTTGTTGCTCTCTCATAGGTCTTCTACATCTTAACCCTATATCTGGCATGCTTGCAGGGGAGAAATTGTTTGAATGCAAGGCGGCCAGAAAAATTAATGAGGGACTCATCAACACAGATTTTTTGCTGGGGAGTATAGACATCTGCAAATTTTTGGTTAAGGTGATTTACGAGGGGCTGAATTCTGTGGAGCCGGTCAAATTTAGGGTCACCCTGAGGATGACTGAGTGTATTGTCGTTGAAATGCATAAAACACGTTACACTCTCATATCTATACCTGGCCATGGCAGCAGAGAACTCGGGAATTTGATGAATCAGGTCTGTAGACCAATACAACCGCAATTCATTTTTTGTAGTAATGCCAAAGTTGAGGGTTAGGCCCAAAAAAAGTTTACATTTGGAAACCGTAATGGGTTTCCATGCGAATGGTCTGGCAAGGTTTGAATTTGGGTTGGTGGCAATAAATTGTTGTGCATATAAATTGCTTTGATCCACAATCAATGCATACAGATCTTCCATGAAAAACAGCTCTAAAAAAATCAAGGGGAGTAATTCAATTTGCTGTTTCAACCAAAATTGGCAGTGAATGGGGGAAGTACGGGTGCTGATTCTGCGAACACTGCGGTTTTGTGTGCAATGTATCAAGTGACAGTGACCTACTGACACTGCACTTGCTGGGGGAGAAGGAAGGGGGGGGGGGGTTAAGCGTAGGGGCTAAACGCAGGTGCTGGCAGGTGCAGGGGGGCTGATCCCGCTAATGCTGTGTTTTTGGGGACCACTATACTAATGGGAAACGCTGGATATCTGCATATTATATGCATATGTTAAATCTGCATAAAGATATTGATTCGTTCAGACACTATACTAGCAATGGAGGTTTTATTGTACATGAGCGTCTTCCTGGCAATCGAGGGGTTAAATGTGATTACTGGGTTGTACTGACGAGCAATCTGATGCTATCTGGGAGGGACGTGAAAACCATGGGAGCACGAATCACGTATATATACATGATTTTGCGCACCCTTGCCGCCCTGTAGCAGTATTTCTGCTATAGGGCGGTCAGGAAGCAGTTAATGAAGCGGTCTGCATTACGGCGCTGCGTTACTTTAACTGACAATTGCGCGGTCATGCAATGCTGCAACTAGATGAAGTTTACATCCTTTTTTTTCCCACAAATTGAGCTTTCTTTTGGTGGCATTTCATTGTCTGTACGTTTTTTTATTTTTTGCGCCATAACAAAAAAAAGGTCGACAATTTTGAGAAAAAAAACAATATTTTTGGACTTTTTGAGATTAAACATGTCCAGTAAAAAAATTTAAAAATCAAATCTCGTCATAAATTTAGGCCAAAATGTATTCTGCGACGTGTCTTTGAAAAAAAAAATCCCAATATGGGTAAGTTAATTGGTTTACGTGAAATGTATAGCGTTTACAAATGGCGGTATAGATACTGGAATTTTTTATTTATAACAATAATGGCGGCGATCAGCGACTTATGATGATCAGCGACGACTTATAGCGGGACTGCGGCGGGCCTTCTGACACTGGGGGGGAACTGACTCGGTGTCACCGACATTCTCAGTGACACCAATACAGTGACCAGTGCTAAAAAAAAGCACTGACGCTGTACTAATGGCACGGGGCAGGAATGGGTTACAATGAGGGGCAAAGGTTTAACTATTTGCTGGGAGTGTTTTACTAGGGGTGGGGTGTGTGTGCTTCACTGTAAGCCATCCTGAGCAGTTTGCCTGAACTGACAGGGAGGAGGGCTGTTGGTAAGCAATGCAGCCCTCCTCCCTGTTGGTGATTTCTGGACCCGGAAATGCAGAATCACGTATATGTGATTTTGCGCACAGGAGCTGCCATGCAGTAGTAAATCTACTGTCGGCGGTTCTAAAGAGGTTAAACTCAAAACCAATAATGTAATAGATTGCATCTTACCAATCATTAGATATGTTTGGCAGCATTAGTTTTTCTATTTTTTAAGGTTTCTTTCTCATTTTCACCTGGTGATTTGGCCAGTAATACACCTTTGTATTACAGCGCCACAACTGGATGAGGAAGTACAGGGGCAGCTTTGAAAAGTAGTATTGCCAGTCTGGAGGGAGGGGAGTGTTGGGGCTTTCTTTACTCGCTCAGCAGATGCGCTTCTTCTGAGAGTTTAAGAGCCCGACACTCCCTTTCTTGATAAACCCCAATCAATGCTAATCACACTGCAAGGTGCTGGAGACAGGCAATGAGGGGAGTAGGAGACAAACGTCGCAATGTTAAAAACATTAAAAGTTTAAGTCGCCATAAAGTCCCTTTTGTTTTTAAAAGCCCAGACATTCCTAAAAGCACCTTTGCCTAAGTAAAAACATCAACCCTTCAAATTTTGTTTTAGCCGGACAAGTAGAATTTCATGAGGGACAGAGAGATTGGGACCCTGATTTAGCATTTTTTAAATTTCCACACCCCTGAGTTACCCCAAAACTATCATTTCAAGTGTAGAGCAGACCTCTAACGGACCTCTCAGATTTCTCCTGGGTTCTATTCCCGATTGAGTGCAAAGCAGCCAGACACACCGCTACTCCCACAATCTCACAACACAAAGACCAGGCAGTGGGTGTCTTTTTAAGGTTTAATGCCTATTGAACTTGGTTGGGATGCAGGGTAAACCTTAGGATTCTCAGACTTTAGGGCACAAAGGAGCAGAGGAAACGTTCTGGCATAACTAGACTATTCAGGATAACCTCCTTTTTGACTAGTAATAGGTGAACAAACAATTCAGGGGACTCCAAGCACAGGAGCAGTCCTAAATCAGCAACTGTGGAGAAGATGCTCAAAGGACTAAGCAGCAACAGTCACTAAGGTCTCTCACTCCAGCCTATACTCACAATGTCCTGTGTATTTGGATACCTCTGTCCAATACCCCCCAGATCCTCAGTGAATCCCTCTGAATCGGCTCCAGCTCTTCTCAGAGAATAGACCCCCCCAGCCCCCCTGACCTAGGAACCTACAGTTGCAAGAAAAAGTATGTGAACCCCTTGGGATTACGTGGAGTTTTGCATGAATTGGGCATAAAATGTGCTCTGAAGGTCATCTAAGTCACAACAATAGAAGAACACAGTCTGCTGAACATAATACTACACAAACATTAGATGTTGCCATGGTTTAATTGCACATAACATGTAAACATTCACAGTGCAGGGAGGAAAAAGTATGTGAACCTTTGGACTTAATAACTGGTTGACCCTCCTTTGGCAGCAATAACCTCAACCAAACGTTTCCTGTAGTTGCAGATCAGACCTGCACAACGATCTGGAGTCATTTTGGACCACTCCTCTTCACAAAACTGTTTTAGTGTAGCAATATTCTTGGGATATGCCCAATTCATGCAAAACTCCACGTAATCCCAAGGGGTTCACATACTTTTTCTTGCAACTGTAGATGGACTGGTGCAGACTTCAGCTAATCACCCAGAAGGGCAGCAGCCCTTCAGGCTGCGTCCTCTTCTCCTGGACAAGAACCCTTCTGTTCCAGGCCCAAGACTATTTATGACCCTCAGCCACCTACTGGGCATTCTCTCCTCCAGGGATTGGCTGAGACCACATGAATATTCAGGTCTGTCTCTTCCAGCCCACTAAATTCTAGAATCCACTAGAACAGGGGTCTCCAAACTTTCTAAACAAAGGGCCAATTTACCATCTTTCAGACTTTAGGGAGGCCGGATTGTGGCCATTGACCAAAAAGGTCCCACCGTCAGTGGAAAAAAAATGCCCCATCTTTGGTGTCAGTGGAAAGAACAGTGCCCTATCATTTGTGTCATTGGAAGGAATTATGCCCCATCAGTGGTGTCGGGGGGGGGGGGGGGGGGTGCTAACGGCCCATTGTTGGTGTTTTGAGAGAAATTGTGCCCTATCATTGGGGGGAATAATGGCCCATTGTTGGTATAGGTGGATGAAATAGTGTCCCAAGGGCTGGATAAAAGCAAGCAAAGGGCTGCAGAGAAATTGTGCCCTCTCATTGGTGTCAGTGGGGGGAATAATGGTCCATTGTTGGTATAAGTGGATGAAACAGTGCCCCAAGGGCTGGATAAAAGCAAGCAAAGGGCTGGATAAAAGCAAGCAAAGGGCTGCAACTTGGAGACCTCTGCACTAGAAGGCAGAGGAAAGTAGTTGAGCCTGCAGCCATCAAGACCCAGAACAGCGAAAAATAATAACACACTGCTCCAATGATTACAGATGAGCTAGAAAGACTAAATTTACCTAACCTCTCTAGCAACCTATTCTAGGAGGGTGCTACATAGATGACGAATCCATCATATCGAATTCATCATTGCGGCAGAGCAGGTGCATTGTGTGTCTCCCCAAACACCACACTGTCATGTGCACATAACAAACAGAATTCCAATCCAGAACAAAAGATTAGGCTGCTACATTAAAGTATGAATCACTTCTGTTAATATGATGCAATCAATCAGCAAATTGGGTTCCTCCAAAATATCCTGGAGGGAAGAGTCTGATATATGAATCATAGCTTATTGCTGTTTATATTCTCTTAATACGACTTAATTAACTTAAGGTGTGTTTGGCTGAGATCCAATCTGCTTTTATTAAAAAGGAAACTATGCTGTGCTTTCCCTCGGTATACATTCTGAGATGTTATTATACCAGTTCACCTGAAAGTAAACTTTGAAGTGACTGTCATATGTTTTCACTCTCACCGACTCATTTTCATGTATTTCATAAGCAGGTTTTAAGAAATACTG